TCAACACAAGATCTTATTACATGAGGCTCACAAAGAAAGCAAAAATCAAAGAAACCAATCTAATCTGTTGCATACATTTTTAAGAGAAAGACCGGCGAGTGAAAAATGTCCTTCAAAGATTCAACTCCAATTACACAAGTAATTTTCAAGGACAAATCAAGTTTCTTGACAGAGTTTAAAGGGGAAATTATGAATATAAGGTCTGTAGAAACTATCACATCACAACCAGCTGCAGTCATCCAATTTGCAGGGTTAAATTGACTTCAGTTTAAATTAAAATTAAATAAAATGTTATATTTAGGCGTCAGAAATATGCCTTGAAATTGTAATGCAGATAACAAAGAAAACTGTTACTTTTGGGGAAAAAAACAATTAAAAAGTTGTATTAGAAAAAAATGTGAAGAACAGTGAAGAGCACCTAGTATCAGCAACTAACATCATCAGAACTGTACCTGGGCTGTCACAACCACTGTAAGACACTCTTCTGTTGAGTTCAAAATATGGTTGTAAAATGTAGTTCTTAATAAGCTAGGTTTCCATGCTATGTCTTATCTGGCATATTTATTACTTGTTGCTGAAAGAAACAGCATCACTCTTCCAGCTGCTTATTGTGTCTTTGTCCCTTTTGTTGCAGCTAGTCATTTCTCATCCACAGGACAAGCCAGGCCAGCATAGTTTCCTGATTTACTTTTCCTTTACTAGCAGTTAGGGGGCTTTATTTCTGAATCAGCTGCTTACCTTGAACTCACCTTGGACCCGAGAGCTGATGCAAGCGAGGGAAAGAACAGGCTGAAGTATTCCTTTTGGCATCAGCCTCAGTTGCACAAGACCAGATGCAATATTAAACCATGCTCTGGAAAACATTACTAGCTTTCTTCTTGTAGAATGAATATTCAAGTGTCTTCAGAATTCCACGTAACACAGTGAGTTTCTGAGAGCTAATGGAAAACTCTGCAAGGAAAAATTGTAATACTACAGCAAACAAAGGACTCCACAGGGCAACAAAGCCCAGTGATAAGGACTGAGGCTCAATATGTGGACAAATGGCCTTGCAATCTAAGTTGACAAGAGGAGTAAGAAATTCAGTACCTTTCCTAATATCACTTAGCAGGTTAATGACAGAGGCGGAAATCATATGCAGGAGTTGGGACAGGCAGCTCTAAGCCCTACATCACACCTCCTCCTGTAGCAGCAACCGCTATTTACTCACTGCTTGTGCTACAGCATCTCCATGTCAAGAACCGCACTAGGTTCCAGAAATAATAACATGAAAATGAACCATTGCATTTGCTACTCTGTAAGCAGATTATTAGTTCAATGTGGTTTACACTATCTGAAAGTTCCCAGTGCCTTTCGAAGAACTTGAAACTGTAATATTTTTCTAACTCAGTAACATGTCCTTTCTTCCCTCTACTGACAGACAAAAAGAAAGAAAATAGAAAAAAAATCCACTTTTATTTTTGTTTCTATTAAATGGAAGTGAGATGCAATTTGGAATTAGTACTTTTAGATCATACTAAAGTTCTCCATAGAAGGAGTAAACCAAGATGAACTATATGAAAAATAAAAAAGAAAAGGCAAAGCAGAGACAAAAAAAGGAGATGGTTCAAAGAGGAAAAGCAGTACAGTTGCTATTAATAAATCCAAATTAATACAGTGACACTGGTCACGTATCTATTTTTTGCTTCTAAAAGTAAAAACCCACTCTGTCTCTGTGCCGTTACGTACATAGTACAAAACTGTACTGATATAAACAGCACCACATATCCCAAACCAAACACAAATCCCCAAAATCAATTATCTCTCCCCCCATCTGTATTCTGCTGTTAACTACATGGATTTAACACACAGAGGGAGACCCTTTACTCACTTAAAAACTAACAAGTTTTCTATTTAAGGCTTAAGATATAGCAGGACTTAATCAGAAACACAAAATATCATTACTGAAGTCATGAAATACCATCACATGGCAAACCACAGCACAGAGATGGCAGTTAGAACATCTTGAGCAAACCACAGCTTTTCTTCCTCTGATGGTTAGCACACACAAGGAAAGAGCAGAAGAAAGACACTCTGCTTGCTTTCCTTCATCTCTATTTCTCCCAGTTGTTCCCAAGGCAAAAGCCCTCCAAGGATCCTATCTAGGAAAGTTAGGTAAGTGTATTACCTGAAGAGGAACAGGGCTAGCAAATAAAAACATATATTTTAATATAACACAGAAGAATATATGTCACATTAGCTGGCAGGTTCCAGAGTAGCTGCAATGACAGAAGTCCATAGTCCAAGAATGTACCTGTGTATCAACCTCTGTCAAAAATATCAGCAAGTGGCTGGTGAAACTTCAGCTATTAAAAGAGAGGATCAAAAGTTCACATCTTCAATGACCTCACTATCACCCATCAGAGTTTTGAGGGTAACACTCCACAAGCACATTAATACCTGCTGTTTTTCAGAGATGCCCAGGACCAGCATCTAGCACAGCATCTACTTTTGCTGAGGCATCTCACTGGAGTGTGGTTTACCACCAGCTGTGACGTGAGGTCCTGGAAGGATCTTAGCACCCCTGCACTAAGCAATCACTTCTTGGCTAGTATTATATGGAAAACAAAAATAACTGGTGCTTTCTTGACTAATACAATTTCAGAGTCTAACAATTATATTTATTAGAAAAGGCATTATAAGCTTCTATCCTACTTATATTACAACAAAAGGAGCACACACAAGTGAGGAACTATGTGAATGCTCGAAAGAGTAAGCAAAATACTGAAGATTTTATTAAGAGATTAGCAGAAGGTAATTTGATTCTTTAAAGTTTTATCTTAGTTGTTTATTTATTGCTTCCAGTTACAATCTTATTTATTTTGCTACAACTGAAGATTTTTATGCAAATAAGTGTTTAACTATTTTCAAATGTTTCCCCAAGACAAATTATACAATGCCTTTGAATTAAATGCAGACAAAATGACTTTGTAGTGTTCTAGAGAGAGACTATATTATTTACATATTTTGTTATGAAGGAGAGGATAGAATTTCAATTTTCTTTTAAACATATTAGATCCTCACAGAGTTTATCTTATCATTTATGCAATTTTATCATCACCACTACACTTAACCCTGTACACTGGTTTCCCCCCTGCTCCTGCTAGCAGTCGCTCAATTTGCTTTTTAAGTTTGATTATTAATGCACATGCTAGTGTTTCTGTTCTGTTGTTAAGTGTCATAGGACTCCCCCCTTATCTGGTCTGTAACACAACCCAAAAAGCAATTCTATTTAATAAGATTCTCTTCAATTTTTAAGTATCATGTTCTTAAACAGCATCAAACTTGAAGAAAAGAATACCTGTATTTTTTGTTGAATATAAATATATGAACTGTCTGTAATGCTTTCACTCCTTCTGTGCACTGATAATAACATGGATACAGCAGTTTAGTCCTGGTAATTGTCAGGCAGAGGAGGATGGCAGAGGAGGGCAGATTAAAATATAGGCAAAAAAGAATTATCCAGAACTAACTGAAAAACTTTAAATTCACTTATCTAGTTTTTCTAGTTAAATACTAGCAGAAATAGAGAGGATATAGTAAATATAGACCCACATGAATGCAAATATTCTAAACTGATAGATGCCTTCAAAGTTGTAACTAAATGCTAATTTTTGAAATTAAGAGCAAACATACTTTTCAGAGGCCATTAAAGGGGAAAAAAAAAAACAAGACGAAGGCTTCTCACTCCATTGGTCACCAAAGTCAACAGCACATGGAACAAATACATGGGTTCTAAACACTTGCTGCCAACAGCACTGAAATCAAACAAAATCCCTTAAATATGAAATATTTCTAGTATATTGGCCCTGCCATAGAAACCAGAACTAGAGAACTAGAAACATTACATTATTCCAAATAACTATCTCTTGATAAGAAAATGCAATCACTTTTTGGAGATATCATTTTACTCTTCTTCCTTTGGCCTCTTTTCCTAGGACCCAGCAACAGGACAAGACGAAATGGCTTCAAACTGCACCAAGGGAAGGTTCAGGCTGGACATCAGGAAGGATTGTTTGACTTAAAAGGTGGTTAAACACTGGAATGGGTTCCACAGGGATTCCATCACTGGAAGTGTTCAAGAAACAACTGCATGTGGCACTTTGTGTCCTTAGATAATATGGTGGTGTTCTGTCAAAAGTTGGACTTCATGATGCTGGAGGTCTTTTCCAATCTTAATGATTCTATGATTCTCTTCTGTTATATGATTATTAAGTACAAGTAACACTGATTTTATCTGTGCATTTATAAGGTTCTCTTTGACAGCCTACACCTACAGACAGGGAAGTGCAAATAATGTATTTATAAAAGGACTACAAAACTCAATTTTTAAAGTATTTGAAGATTTTAAAGTTCTTCCTTAGATCCTTCTTGCACTCTTCTCTAGTCAAAATAATACATATTTGGCACACACAGTGCAAAGAATCAGTGGCAAGCATAGGGGATCAGGAGAATAACTTTACAAAGGATACCACAGAGGCAGAGTTAAAAACTAAAAAGATTGCAGATTAAAGAAAAAGGAATTCGGCTTGTAAATCAAATTCAGTAAGTAATTTATTAACTTACTTCAGATATTCTAGAATTCTCATCTTATAACTGCTAAATATATAAAATTGCATTACACCAAAAAGCCAGTTCAGGCATCATTATTTTAATACCATAGGTCAAGTTACCACTTCAATAAGTACAGGTTGAACTGTTACTTTAAAGTTTTTTCAAAGTCAGGGTGATATGAGGAGAGGCTCCATTTATCAAGATCAGACAATGAGACTACCTCATCCTGTCCTTCTTAAAATTTCTGCTTTAAAAGGTTGTCTGAATGTTCTGAACAGCAACTTGGTGCTCAGAAGAAAATATTCAAAAGGTACAAACTACTGAACATCTTTCATCTTTCCTTCACAGTAGTAAAACTTAAGGCATGTGAAAACACAGAAAATATGATCAGAATTTCATTTACTCACCACTGTTCCAAATCCTTAGGTCTTGGTCAACCACTTCAGATGCCTGGCAATACCTATAGAAATAATTGATGCAAAATGTAAGAAAGGTACAGGGACAAAAACATCAAAACAATATTAACAATTAGTACTGGTGGCTGGAATGGTAAAAATGTTGCTTGTAAGAGATTATATGACATGGATAACATTTCACTACCAAGCCACTTATGCTTGGCTAGAAACATTCGAGACATCACTCCAATCATGAAGGCACTAAGAAAAAGCACAAACCCTGGACTTCAGGAGGGTAGACCTGAGAGTCTTCAGGGATCTGTCTGGTAAAATAGCCATGGGAAAAACTCTGGCTGGGAGAAAGGCCCAAGAATACTCACTAATATTCAAGGATCACCTCCTCCAAGCTCAGGGACTACACATTCCAACAAGGAAACGAGGCAGAAATGCCAGGTCTGCATGGATGAACAAGGAGCTCACGGACAGACATAAACCAAAGGGCAGAAGCAAGGACAGGTAGCCTGGGAGGAATACAGAGAGAATGCCTAAGAAGCCAGGGATAAGGCTAGAAAAGCTAGAGCCCTGATGGAATTAAACCTCTCCAGAGACATCAAGAACAACAAGAAAAGCTTCTACAGGTATGTTGGTGATAAAAGCAAGATGGGAAAATGTGGTCCCTCTCTGCAAGGGAACAGGAGATGTGGTTACCCATACAGAAAGCTGATGTGCTCTATGACTTTTTTGTCTCGGTTTTCACTGCAAGTGCTCCAGCTACACTGCTCGAATTGCAGAAGGCTAAAAAAGACATGAAACTACTGGAGAGGGTCCAGTGAAGGACTACAAAGATCATCATAGTATCATAGAATATCCTGAGTTGGAAGGAACCCACAAGTAGAGTCCAGCTCCTGGCTCTGCACAGGATAATCCCCAAAATCACTCCATATGACTGAGTGCATTGTTCAAACACTTTCTGAACTCTGTCAGGCTTGGTGCTGTGACCACTGGGGAGCTTGTTCCAGCGCCCAGCCACCCTCAGAGTGAAGAACCTTTTCCTGATATCCAGAAAACACAGCTTCATGCTGGTTTCCCATGTCATATCACTGCTCAGCAAAGAGATCAACACTCAATTCAACTTGTGAGGAAGTTGTAGACTGCAGGGTTATGGTTAGGGGACTAGAGTATTTTTCTTCTGAGGAAAGGCTCAGTGAGAAACCACACACTGTAGGACAAGATCAGGTTTGCAGCCATCCTCAGGAACTGAAGGTGCACAAGTCCATGGAACCTAATGGTGCAGAAGTCCATTAGAATGGACTCCTCAGAATGATGAGATACATTCTGAGGAAACAGGCCACTATCCATCACATCTAAGAAGTTGTGGTAGTCTGGTGAAGTTCCCAATGACTGGAAAAAGGGAATTGTAACCTCTGTTTAAAAAAACAAAGGGGGAAGAAGATAAGACTACAGGCCAATCATTTTCACCTCTGTGCCCACCAAGACAATGGGGAAGATCTTCCTGGAAACTATGCTAAATCAGATGGAAAACAAGGAGGTGACTGGTGGCAGCCAACATGGTTTCACAAAGGGCAAATTATTTCTAATGAATCTGGCCTTCTATGATGGGATTATACTGTCATAGATGAGGAAAGAACAACTGACTTCACATACTTGGACTTGTGAAAAATATCTGATGTGGTCCTTGTCTCTAGATTGGAGAGATGTGGATTTAACAGATAGACCACTCAGTGGATAAGGAATGGTTGCAGTCAAAGAGTTGGCATTCAAAAATCATGGCCAAGTGGAGACCAGTGCTGGTGGTGTTCCTCAGATATTGGTTTTGGGACCACTATTGTCTAATGTTTTTGTCAGGGACATGGACAGCGGGACTGAGCACACCTCAGCAAGTTTGATGATGTCACTGGGCTGTGTGTGGTCAAGACACTGGAGGGCAGGGATGACATCCAGAGGGAACATGATAGGCTTGAGAGGGGGCCTGCGCAAACTTCAAGCTCAACAAGGCTAAGTATAAAGGTCTTGTACATGGGTCAGGGCAATCTCAAGCACAAGTATAGTCTGGGTGGAAAGTGGATTGAGAGAAGTCCTAAGAAGAATGAATTGGGGCTGTTGATGATACAACAGCACTTGGAGCACCATCTGGAACTTGAAGCCCAGAAAGCCAATCGTATCCTGGACTGCATCCAAAGCAGTATGGCCAGGAGAAGAGGGAAATGATACCTATTTGCTCTCTTCTTGTGAAACCTCACCTGCAGTACTGCATCCAGCTCTGGTGCCCCCAGCACCAGAAGTACGTGAACCTGCTGAACGGAGTCCAGAGGAGGTCTGGAGCACATGCACTGTGAGGACAGGCTAAGTGAGCTGGAGTTCTTCAGCCTGGAGAAGAGAAGACTCTGGGGTGTTTCCTACAGGCCACCTGATCAGGAGGAGGAAGCAAATGAGGCCTTCTACAAACAGCTGGAAGTAGCCCCAAAAACAGTCCAGGAAATTCCTGGAAAGCATTTATGACAAGTGCCTGTCACAGCAGGGGATCCCACGAGGAATGCTGTGATGTTCAAACTTGTATTAACAAGTAGGAAAGGCCTTGTTGGAGGTGTGAAGGCTGGGGGCAGCCTTGGCTGCAATGACAATGAGATTCTGAAGTTCAGTATCTGGTGAGGAGAGAGCAGGACAGCAACTAAAATTGCAACCATGGGCTTTCGGAATCTTATTAGAAGAATCCCATGGAAACAGGGTTTGTAGGAAATGGAGGTCAAAGACAGTTGGTCTTCCTCCAGGCTCAAGAATGATGCATACTGATGAGCAAGAAATTGGGAAAATAAGACTAGGGACCTGCGTGGATAAACAAGGAACTCCTGTCATTAATCCAGAGTAAGCAGGAAATACACAAGAGATGGAAGCAGGATCTGGCCATTTGTAATTAATACAGAGAGGCTGTTAAATTAAAAAGAAATGGCACAAGGAAAGCCAAGGCCCAACTAGAATTAAATCTGGCCAAGGATGTCAAAGACAACAAGAAGGACTTCTTCAAATACATCAATAAAGAAAGAAAAATAAGAATGATGTGGTCCTTTTGCTAAATGGAGGGAGGGATTCTTGTAACAGAAAATGAAGAGAAGAAAGAAAAAGACATTTTACTGAATGTCTTCTTTGCTTCAGTCTTCATTGACAAGACCAGCACCCAGGGTTCTCTGACCTAGGAGACCAGGGTCAAGCAGTTCTGGAGTGAAGACTTTCCCTTGGTCAAGGAAGATTGAGGTAGAGACCATATAGGTAAACTTGACATTCACAAGTCCTTATGGCCTGATGGGGATTCATTTACAAGTGCTTGCAGACACAACTGCGAGGCTGTTCACAATGGAAGAAAGCAAAGGTCAACCTAGTGTTCAACAAGGGAAAGAATGAGGACCCTGGGAACTATCAGCCAGTCACCCTCACCTCGATCCCTGGAAAGGTGATGGGAGCATCTCATTCAGAAGGCTATCCACATGGGTGATGAGGAATAGTCAGCATGGATTCATTCAAGTTAAATCCTCCTTGACCAACCTGATTGCCATCTTTAATGAAACCATCAACTGGATGGATGGGAGGAGAGCAGTGGATATTGTCTACTTTGACTTCAGTAGATTTCCTCAGACAAACTCAGGGATGTAGGCTGGATGAGTGGACAGTGTGGTGGATCAAGAACTGGCTGAACAACAGATCTCAGAGGGTTACAATCAGTGGCACAGGGTCTAGTTGGAGGCCTGTCCCTAGTAGTGTCCTGCTAGGTTAAATGCTGTACTATTTAACTTATTCATCCCTAGCTTGGATGAAGGGGTAGGTGCCTCCTCAGCGAATTCATTGATGATACAAAGCTGGGAACAGTGGTCAATACCCCTGAGTACTGGACAGGCTGAGGGAGCTGGGCCTGTCCAGCCTTGAGAAGAGACAAGTGAGAGGGGACCTCATGAATGTCTGTCAGTATCTGAAGGGAGGTATCAAGACAATAGACAGGTTCTTCTCAGAGGTGACAAGCAGTAGGACAAGAGGCAATGGCCAGAAACTGATGCACAGGAAATTCCCCCTGAACATGAGGAAGAACTTCTTTACTCTGTGACTGGTTGCAAACTGGAACAGATTGCCCAGAGAGGTTGTGTAGTCTTCCTCACTGTTTTGCTGGGTCCCTTAAACAAAATCCGTTTTGTGATTATGTGACCTTCTAGTAGACTTCCAGTGCCTGAGGAGGGCCTAAATGAAAGCAAGAGGGTGACTTTTTACAAGAGCAAGTAGTGACAGAACAGGGGGCAAGAGGCTTTAGGCTGAAAGAGGGCAGTTAAGACTAGATGTAAGGAAGAAATGTGAGGGTGGTGAGGAACTGGCACAGGCTGCCCAGAGAAGTTGTGGATGCCCCATTCCTGAAACTTCCAAGGCCAGGTTGGATGCGGCTTTGAGAAACCTGGCCTAGTAGAGGATGTTCCTGCCCATAACAGGGGGCTGGAAGCCATAACCTTTGAGATCCCTTCTAACCCAAACCACTATCATCCTGTGATCTTGTGATTCTATGAAGCAGTAACACATAAACTAAACACATACAAAATCACATCTTTTTCTGTTCCTCTATTTTACTAACCAATGAAAATCCATTCAAGATTATTTGTATATTCTGTGGCAATTTATAATAACACTTTAAAATCAGATATGACTTAGGAAGAAATCCAAAAGTTCCCAAGCCACTGCAACAAAAACTTGAACGACATAGCCTGATCATTCCAAAAATGTACCTCTAAACTTCTGTCACCCTATTTCATGGAATTAAGCAAGGACAAACATGAATTTTTGTACCTGAGATGGACTAATACCTAATAGGGCACTGGCTACCCAGAGCAGGCTTCCTGAAATGGAGCTAGGGATCTGGGCAGAAAGTGGTCTAAACATGAGCCAACAGTTAGCCTTGGCAACAAGGAAGGCCAAGAATATCCTGCGACATGTCTACAGGCTAAGATCCTACAAACAAACTATTATTCACCTTCAGCTAACACTTTCAGGAATCTTGAGCAGTTTTGTATCCCCACTACCAAAAAGTAATAAATTAAGGTGACAAAAGTAAGGTTAGGTTGATTCAGCAATACTGAAATACAGAATTTCCCACAGTAATAGCAAATCCTGCATTTTTATACATTCATCAGGACAAGATATATGAAGAACCTTTGTTCATAAATGAACAAAGTAAGACAGAAAGTCAGTTCACTCTTAGTGAAGATGGCTTAACAACAGAAAAAGCTGGTGCAGAACTTCCAACAAAGTGTGCTTCTGAGGACAAAGGAAAGTGTACTAAGCACACTGCAAAGTCAAGCATAGCTTAAAATGGCCTCTGAATTCCTGTCACATAGAATATTCATTCAGGAACAAAAAAGGAAACAACACCAAAAACACCAACTGGACCAAGCAGCTGTGATTTCTTCAACTTTTCTGTCTCAAAACCAGTTACCATTGCAATGAAAATACAGCAGTGTTAATAGAGGCAGAGACTATTTTCAAGACCAAAAAGGGCCAAACTGTTTTCCTTAAACTCAGTACCAAAAAATGTAGGATCAATTTTAAGTACATGTAAACAAACCTGATTGTCTGCATAATCCATTAGGTGATGCTTTTAAGGAAAATTGCCTTGCTTGGAGTCTGAGCTCCCTAAGAAAGAGTAGTACAGGCAGGGTAAGACAGGATCAGTGCACTGAGAACGCTGTAGAAAAGCCTCTCTTTCACAGAGCCGCCCACTTGCCAAAGGCACAGAAGTGTTCTTCCTCATGCGTGCACAAAAACTAAAAAAATGCTGAAACTTTGAAAAAAGAGGAAAATAAGTATTATATCTTAAAAGTCTCCTTTTTGTCACCACATTTGTGACAAAACTAACAAGAAGAAAGTCCACACGCCCCATCACCACACAGGCACCTCCCTTATGCTGCAAAACACCAAATCCTCCCAAACAAATCAAAACTGGAAAAATACATGTATGCTTTCATTCTTTCTCTCAGGAGGTCTTGCAGATTTTGCAATAGCTCAAACAGATTTCTAGTACAGCTAGCAAAACCACATAAAATCTGTTTCTTCCTTTCTACTCAGCTAGCTGTAAGTTTGGTTGCATTAACTCCACCCCTCCAAAAAAGGTGGAAACACTACACTCTTCATTTTTAGCTCCTTCTTCATTTGCAAGGGATAAATGTCTTAGCACAACTAAGGGAGAAGGAGTCTCTATAACCAGCAGAGCCATTGATTTAAAGTTCTCTTATTTACAGTGAACAGGAGAAAATCAAATATACTGGATACTGCTAAGAGAACACAATGTGTTTGGTAACATTCCCATATCACATACCCTGTCTTTGTACACAGTAGGAAGTGGGTATACTTAGCCTACCCAGAACAAATACAATAAAAAAGGAATACAGATATATCTGCTGTATCTTAAAACATCCTTTTCAAATAGCTTTTTCTTCAGATATACTACTGTGTGATACTTCCATGTATTATATAACAGCAAGTACTGAAATCAAAGAAATATTTGCTTACTTTAGGAAGGTCTGTATTACCAATTATGTCACTATGAATAGAAATAATGCATTCAATGGGTTCTTTGTCTTTTGCTATCAATGTAGAACAACATAAAATAAAATTAAAAAAGAAAGTAGTATTTCATAGGCGTCATTAAGGCTACCTTCAGAAATAACAGCAAAACAAGAATGACAAAATATGCTCCTTAGGGATACACTGATAGGAGGTTTAAAAAAACTACTTACAAGTAAAATTGCCCTCTAAATTAACGGGAAGCTAACAGCTCAAGATATATAACAGATTTTTTTTTTTAACATTTCTTCTCAGGCTCATTATTTTTGCTTTCACACAAATCTACAAAAGAAAAAAAAATTCCAGTTTTTCTTTTTTTAATACCTACCTAATTTGTTCAATCTAGAGTATCATGCTATATATCTACCTGTATGTAGTTTAAAGAAAATTTAGAAATCATATAGAGCAGCTTAATTTACAAGCTGCTTCAAAGAGAACAGAATAAAAAATCCTATTTCATACTACAAAAATATTTTCCCCTAATGCACCTGTCCTGAAGTTTACACTTAATAAAAGCCAGATGTACTTCTAATACACTGATCCCTGCTTTTAATGCCAGTTTTCCCAGTGCACCACCTTAACCAAGAAAGCAGTACAGCATAGTTTTATACATCATTAAAATGTTTAAAGCAAATAATACATTTTAATAATTGTAGCAATTCTCACAAAACCAAACAGAATAAATACAGAAGTATTAAAAGATCTGCACTGCAGATGAAAGATCCCCTCTTAGCTTTTACCTAATACAATAACACTGAGTGGTAAAGAAATTAAATTACATTTCTTAAACAAGCCAGTCATTACCAACCAAAGCAAAAAACATGCAAATTCGGCTTTAGTAAATTTATTATCTAAAATTTGTTTTGGCTTATAAGGTTTGTTTCAGCGAAGTATAAATCTTTATTTGAAGTTTGCAATATAGAACATGAGCCATGAGCCTGATCCCACATTCACTGAAGTCACTGGGAGTCCTTATCTTTAGCATTATCCATGAAGATAAAAGGACATAAATTGTTTATTTTAAAGGCAGTGTAAAAGCACTTAACAAGTTCACTTTACACCATGCTTCTTGAGTCGCATCTTTGAGTCACAGGGACTACAAAGCAAAACCGCAAGTCCCCCTCCCACAGCTGCACCATGAGTTACACCACAGCCAGTGCTTCAGTCTTCCTCGGTACAACCCTCTACCAACTCAAGGCAACCTAAGCTTTGCAGCAGTAGCTCTACTAAGTACATCAACTAAAATTGTTCCTTGGCTCCATTTTGGCCATAGAGCTGTTCTAGGTGGCCACCAGAGAGAAGAACCAGACAAGAAGTGATTCAGAAAGCAGCTCCACCCTGGGGCCAGCACTGCCTAACAACCTGTTGTCTGCACACAGATGATGAGAAGGACGGGTCCCATGGGCAGCCTAGTGACCACCAGACATAGGCAGGCTCCAGGTCAACACCACAGCAGTGGGGAGTGGCAACACAGCTCTAACACGGACTGATGGCACCACCCTGGGCTAAAATACACTTCTGGATCTCCAGGCAAGAGCATGGGCAGGACTCAGGGGAGGTTGAGGTACAAGAGTGCCCTGGAGCCCTGACATGTGGTTGCTAATCAAATGCTCTAACCAGTGGCATGCTCCTTAGCAATCACTTGTCAAGTTCAGGCTATTCTTCCTAAATGTCAGCTGGCTTAATAAGTAACAACTTTTGATGAGTATTTATTAGCATTTGAATTATTGCTCCCAGATTACCACACACTGGCCTGCAAAATCCTAAATTTACAAACAAAGCTGTCTTCTGGCAGAAGTGGAAGAGAATGTTGCCAAGGGAGACAAGACAGTTATCTTTTCCTGAAGGTCTAGAGATGGCAACTGAGGAGTTTTGTTATATCATAAGCAATAACAAATCCTTTTATTTAATCTGTACCACACATGCTCTTTAAAGCAACAGCTACACAGTGTCTTTGGTTTTCAATCTCATACCTCCTACTCCGGCCAAAATTATAGTCAGAGTATCATCATGGTGATGTGACTATTACAAATCAATGAAACAATCACTAGACTGCCCAAATTGCCTGATAACATTCCTGCATTTTCCAGTAATGATGCATTATGACTGAATTAGGAACCCAATTGTTTTGTGGTTTCATCTTAAACAAAAAATTTAAAAAAAAAAAGGTTTAAGCACAAACCTTCTCTCCCTCCCAGATAAAAACAGACATGCTTTAACACTTGAACTTTCCTTACATTTTGGACAAGATATCTAACAAAGCAACCAAACACAGAATTAGGGAAGACACCCTGCATTTTCTGCATACCTCTGAAAGTCCTGAGCCATTTCTATTCAGCGTGCTTTTCCAGCTGGACCTTACAAACCCATGCCTCTGATGCTAACCCAAGGAAGAGGAAATGAGCTAGCCACTGCCTGGTAAGTGTCAAAGGGCATATTTAATTTGCAGATGGAAGAATTAACTAGCCATGGTGATGGTGGGGATTAAAGAGCAACTAAAAAATACACTAGTGGTACTTTTGCATACTACAGTGATGCTTTTTTATGCCTTTTAAATTTTGGACATTTTAAGCTTTTTCTGAAGCAAATTTACTTAAAACACTGCTAGAGAAACAATCTTTTCAGAAATATTCTGGCAATACAAACAGAAAATCTAGGTTCAGTTTTTCATGAAGTAACATCCTCTTCAAAGACTTCATATCTTCACAGTATGCACTTTGAAAGAAGTTATAAATATCCTTTAAACGCCTCTAAATAATTTTTAAGTTATTATTTAACATCCATTTCTGAGTAAAACTGAGATATAAGTTCTTGATCATCTGAAAGAGGATGATTTTGACAAGAACCTTTCAAGAAAAAGAGCAGAGGTAAGAAAACTCTCTAGTTCTATGTCAGAGGCTGATGACATGATGAAACAAATTCACAAAATTAACAACATTAACAAATTAACAAAACAATACGAGGAACAACAGAAGCGTAACAAGGGAACAAACTCCCTTGCTAAAGGCCCTCTCATCCAAAGATTTTTTTAAAGTATATTAGCATACCTCCCAATCACTTCTCAACCAAAAAGCATTAAATAGCTTGAAACTGTCTCAAACCCCCCTGTTAAAATCAATACATGCAATCTAAACCCATTTAAAATGTTCTCAAAGTATTACTCATCAAAAATGCTGTTTCTCATTTGAGTTCTACCAGCACCATACAGATCTATTATCTGTATCCCAGGCTTATGATTATTAAAGGCAGAAGACAACTACATTTATTAAGTCTTGATAATGTACACAATGTCTACATCGACCACATCCACAAAGCCATGTTTAAAGAATATGAAATATTTAGCCACTTATTTCATTCTAGACAAAGGCTAAAAAACAAGATGGGGGGTATAAAGATGTTTATTTTGAATTTTATTATCTCTTTCTTTACTTCTGCAAAGCATATAAACAAAATAATATCCATGAAAGAAAGTTATTTTGAAAGAAAACATGAAAAATTAAGGTCAAGCAGATCTCTCCAAAAACAAAGAAAAGCAAGAAACTGGTTACTTCACAAAGCAGAAGCAAAACAGCCTTAGGAAGTCCATATGAAAGATTTGTTTAAAGAATATATAAACTCTGGTCTAAGCTTCACAGATCTCTCCAAAAGTCAAGCTAAGAGTCAACATGTCTCTAGAACATAACAAACATTTCTGAAAGATCCTTCTGTTCTCTCCATCTCTCAAAACACTGTATTTTGCTATCTCAATAGGAATTAACATTTTAATTGGCTTTGGCCATTTGCTTACTACCAGAATAAACATAATGATGAAGCTGAAGGTGAGAAGTTAAGGAATAGCCAATGAGGCAGTTAGGCAGAGAACTTTGTGGGAGGCAGGAAAATGCATCATTACTAACATCTTCAAGTTTTGGGGGCAACTCTTTTATTTTCATGCCAAAAGCCATACACAGCTGAGTTCACAGCCTTTTTAACCTTACAATATAATATAAGGCTAAACACCTAAGAGAGTTTAAAAACTTTCAAGGAATTACTATAAACCTTGAAATACGACATAATCTTGTCTGCTTAACCAAGGTCATCAGATTTAAGAAATGATAAATTTATTAGATTCTCTCTTCACACCCCCACTCCCTTTATTTTATTTTAAAGGCTCAGGAAAGCAAATTATTTCCAGGCTACATGGGATCAAGTAACTGAAATTCATCACATATACGTAAGCTACACATTTTAACAACAGATTCAATTTGACAGCAGCAGAAAATGCAGATTCCTATGAGGAGGTACTATTTTTCTATACCTATACATATTTCAAAGAGGGCAATCAGACAAGGAAAAAGTATAGTTCTTTCTGCATGAGTTTTCTTACCAAGTAGGGAAAAAATATTTCAAAGAACAAGAATACAATGATTCCTTAGGTCTCAGTGACCTTCAAATGTACTGATCCATAATAAGAACTCTGTAAATTTGAAGCTCTAAGTTTTAGAGTCCCCAAATAGTGATCCTTTCTCCCCCAAAACCTGCTTTCTGAAGCAGTTATATGAGCTGCCTTCTCAAGTAATTTTTCCAACGAATGCTAAGGTTTAGAGCACAACATGAGTAGGTTTTCTGACATAATTGTTTTCTTACAGTTTTCCAGCAATTGAACATGGACTTTATATCTCTTACAGGCAAAGCTGACTGGTTTAAGTAATAGTTTTTGAAAGCACACAAATGATATACAGCTACTTTTCAGTATCCTTTACAGCACTAAAAGAGCTCTCAGATAAATGAAAATTTAACATACATACACAATCTCTCTTCCATATTCATCCACATAATACAGTCCAGCCCCATTCAGATAGTCCCCTCAGATTTTGGCTCTCTAAAAAGATCTGAATAAAAATATCTGAAACAGACCCTTGTCTTGTTCATATATTAGTACTGTTTCCAAAGGGCTGTTCAGAGGATGAAGACTGAGAACAATGCAAATTCTCCACTCCATGTTCAACCAACAAATCATCCAATCAGTTCCCACTGAGTTCCAGTTTGTTTCGTGTCCAGATGTAAGTGATTAACAGTACATTGTTTGAAACTTAATTCCACATCTGTTCTTCTGTGGGACTTGGAAAACAGATGAAGTTCTCTGACAATTGTTTGCAGAGTAGATAATCACAAGCATGTGTAATAGTATCCCAAAGTGCAAAACACCATGGGTCCAAGAAGCTTTTTATGCTAAATGTTTTTGTTGCTTTTCTAAGTAAGATAAAAAAAATAAGATGCTCTCAGATGGAAATTATTAATACATTCTTAAGAAGTCATAATCTGTAACTAAGAAGGCAAAGCAAAATCTAGACTTTCTTCCTAAAGATCATCACTTCACATCCTAGTACTCTACCCAGTCAGCAAAAATTCATTTTATGAATTCGGGTAACTTTTAAAAGTTATGCAGAAGTAGAACACAAAAAATACATTGTTTTGTCATGGAGCACTGTAGTAGCGAGAGAATGTTCAGGGCTGTAACAGTATGACAGTTGGCATCCTTTGAACAGATCACAGATTCAAGCGATATGTGTGAATTTTCTTTTGATCCCTAGAAAATGTGGATAAGCACAGAAAGGAAGACTAGATAGCAACTGTTCACTGTACTTGCCAAAAGAAGTGCAGACAACATCAAAGCATATTGGGAAATGTCAGACTCAAGAAAGCACTTTTTCTATAACTACACAGTTATACTGAAGAAAGCTGCCAGTTAGCTCTGAATGCTTAGTTCCATGTTTGCTCAAGAAATGATGGAACAAATTACAAAAGAAACGACCCACTGATAGCCATTAAATGTAAGAAGTTCTTCCTCCAGTAAGTCCTCAAGAGAAAGAGCAGTCGAAACTATGAAAACATCCATCCAAATTTCCTCTGTATTTTAGTCAACTGGCCTAATACTTCTACTGACCAGATACGTCTAGCTACTTTATTTATGGTCTTATGATACCACCTTGGACCTTCATCTGACCTCCACATACAACAAGCACAAGAGTTACATTATCTACATTGACTGAGAAAACTTCACAGGGAGGGCTCAGGGTAGATGAAAGACACAATTTTTAAAAAGTATTTTCTAATTAATTCTGGGATTAAAGTAAACTGCTGAGATCAGCTAATTTTGTCAGTGCATGGTGCTAAGGCTGTGTGTTTGACCTTCTAATGGGCCATTCACTGAAGAGTTGGACTTGATGATCCTTGTGGGTCCCCTTGCAACTCAGAACATGCTGTGATTCTGTATCTATTAGTTAGCTGTATATAAGAATGCCCCAGAGAGGCAAGGGCCAAAATTTCAGTTCAGTCACACAGAAACCAGATACTGCTGCCAAGGGCTACCATGGTACTGTGAACTTCCAAATATTTGGTGTTTTC